TTTTGTTCCAAGGTCATTGTGGTCATGTTACCGTATTTCAAAAGTCATAGTTATACTTTTGTCTGTTGCCAAAGCGCAAACAAATGTAGTAGAAATTAAAAGTGCGAAAAACAGATATACCTCGCTCTAAATAAATGGCATCAGCAAGATTCTACATCATTTCACTAGTGGGGTAAATTTTTGCGGACAAAAGTTTTGCGGGAACCGTTTTTTGCTGGAACTTTTTTTGCGGATCGTGGAAAAAAAACCCGAAAAGATCGCTAAGACTAGGGAAACCTGAACTTTCGACTCGCACGTGATCAGGTCGTGTTCCTTGAAACCGTGGCAAATTTGAGAGCCAGCCGNGGCCAGGGCCCTTGCTCCACCCACTGATTCCACTTATGTCTGTGGTTCTTGTCACCGCATCTGCCGATCACGAATCGGACTCCAAAGCCATCTCAGAATTACTAACACACGCTAAAATTATGGACTAGATTGTCCGATAATGCCAATACATAATACATGATCATGTTACCGTATTTCAAAAGTCATAGTTATACTTTTGTCTGTTGCCAAAGCGCAAACAAATGTAGTAGAAATTAAAAGTGCGAAACACAATCACTGTTTCTTTAGTTCGTTAATTAAAAGATGTTTTGCATGGAGGGCATCGACATTCATGGTGAAGCATGTTTGGGACTATTGTACAATGTGTTTTACTCGAAATTCCACTGAATGTTCCAAAGGTCTCTAGATACCGTGTGAAGCGAAATTTTTGCGGGAGTTTCAGCGTGTCCACGATTTTTTTTGTACTTTGCGGGAACTAAGTTTTGCGATTGTGAAAGAGTGGGTTTTCTTGCTGGATATCAATTTTTGCGATTTTCAGGAAGTCGCGTTTAATTTGAATTAGAACATTTGAATTTTTATTGATTACGCTACAAGGCAAACGCAAAGGAAACAACAGGTAGAGATGTTAAACACGGCAATCAGTGTCACTTTTACATCTTGCCCTAGTGTGGCTGATAGTTCCCTTTAGCTTCTCTGTAAACTTAGCCTGCGTAGTGCTTTTGCGTAAATTGGAGCAAGAGCAAAAATTCGACGAAGCAGGGGTGGTGGGGAGAGAATTTTTGCGAAAAGCTCTTTGTACGGGGACGCTTGCTAGGCAGGCTACAGTAAACTTTTTACTAGTTACACCTGAAGTGTGCCAAGTGCAATTTCATCGATTTATTTCACAAAGTTTTGTTTCTAATTCCATTGTCTTGTTTCTGAATGAAAGGGACGTCAAGTTTTAAACGCTCTAAATAAATAGCATCAACAAGATTCTACATCCGGTGATGTTTGTATGTATATTCATTTCACTAGTGGAGTAAATTTTTCCGGACAAAAGTTATGCGGGAACCGTTTTTTGCTGGAACTTTTTTTGCGGATCGTGGAAAAAAAACCCGCAAAGATCGCTAAGACTAGGGAAACCTGAACTTTCGACTCGCACGTGATCAGGTCGTGTTCCTTGAAACCGTGGCAAATTTGAGAGCCAGCCGGCGTTAAGCAAACGATTTCTTCGCAGTTTTTTTCAGTTTTCTATTTTTGAGTTGCGAGGTATATCAAAACACGTAATGACCGGTCCCGCGGGAAACAGTGAGTTTTGTTTCCCCTCGACCTCAATGTTCCCCCGTCGAACATTGAGGGTCTGAGTGTCTCGGGGAAACAAAACTCACTGTTTCCCTTGGGGTCAGTCATTAAGTGTTTACTGACATTTTTGCCTAAATATTTAATTGACAATTAACTTTCTGTAATAACGTTTCAGAGTCATTGCATGGAATAGAATTTCAGCAAGCAACTGTGTGTGTGAGAAAAACTATCTGCGGTCATGAGTTCTCTTAAAATATCGTCTACGCAAACGGTATGTCGTTTTATCGTATTTTTAATACCAAGTTCCTCTGTTTTAATAATTGTTTTAGGAGAAGGAACAGCGACGTCAAAAATTTAATTTTGTGGACATCGATCTCTACGACAAGCAACCATGTGTACTGAAGAACGGCATGGAGGAGGTCATCCAAGTCAACTTTACGCCAAGCAAGAACAGACAGAATATCGAGGCTGAAATTTGCGAAATTTTAAGAATATTTTTAAGAATAATTTTGAAAAGAATTTAATTTTGTGTTGAAAATTTGTAAATACAATGCAGCTATATGTTTTTAACTAAACCGTATAAAATTCTTCCTTTCTTTAAACGGAAAAACTAGCTAAAAAGCTTCAAAAACAGCACTAGCCGTATGTTTTATGCTCATGAACATTTCTGCAGGAAGTTATGTGCGAATTGTTTCTGCGCATCCTTACTGCGCACGCAAATTCACACGCACGTCATGCATCGGGCGCGCGCGCTAAGTACTAAGACGAACAATAATTGGGCAGATGGCCATTGCTATAGCTTTGCTTGGATTTAACGATCTTGGACGTTCGGTGACCCCTACTTTTCTTTCCAGAAACAGATTTTATTTACAATTATCTCCACGTTGTCCAAAAATGAACAAAAAATCAATATGGGAAATTAAAAAAATTTCAAGATTTCTGTCCACGGGACATCAAATCCTCCTATCTTGTGGCTGTAAGGCACATGAAACTACAGTCGCTAAACGCAAACTTGTTCTTTAAGGAACCTCACTAGTTGACTCAATTCACTTAATAGGTCCACTGAAACAATATTTGGCAGAAAACATTTCACTTCAAAGATCTAATTGCAATATTTTTGGGCTTACAGACACTGTGGCCTTACTCGCTAACGAAGCCCAATTTTATCAGATTTAGGGTGTTCTTCCGGGCATGTTCTCTCCAAAACGAAGTCGGTGACCCCCCTTTTTTTACATTTCCGACATAACTAACTCATCATCTTACAGTGGTAAAAGTCTCAGAAAAAAATCAATGTTGGAAAATTTTCGCGCGAACGTCCTTAATGCTTGCAGGCTGGCTCCAAAATTACTCTTACACCATCCAGACACCAGAAACATTGGAAAACAGAAATGTCATACGCTATAATCTAAGAGTATTCACAAGAATATTTTCAAGCTAAAATCGGCAGAAAAATAAGAATAATTCAGCCTCGGCCAGAAAAACAATATCCTTACAAAAAAAAAAATGAGTGATTAGAAGGCACTAATTTCTTAGTCACTTCAAAAAAGCAAAATATGTATACTCTCTTAATTTATTAGAATCTACATGTTATAAGAATTTGATGCTGAATTTGGCGAAATTCTAAGAACATACCTAGAATATACTAAAGGCTGAAATGTTGTTAAGAACATATTTTTTTGCCAGTTGATGGTAAAGGAAATACAATAAAATGATATAATGTTTTTAAATGAACGTTATTATTTTACCATTGAAAATTATGAAGTAACACCATACAGACATCAGACAGTTCTATTTGAGAGTTCAAATAGGCCATTTCYKAGTTACCTTGTACCTCCTTTTCAAAAGAGTCCTCGTGCGAAAACTTTCATACGAAAATGAGTTTGATTTGCATACAAATGAACCTGTAGGCGGAACACATTTTCCTATGAATGGTTTTTGCATGAAGACTTGTTTTGACACAGGCAAAAGGCTACTCAGAAATGGTCTGTTCCTGGCCTCATCCGTTTTATTTAACTTTTAGATTAGATACATGGGCTATATTCTGTTATCTGTAAAGGCACACAAGAATATTAGCAGCCTAAAGTGGGCAGAAAAATAAGAATATTCAGCTTGGGCATGGAAGATATACATTTCTAGTAACATAAAAATGAGTGTAATTAAATATATCAGTTGATCAAATTTTGCAGGTTTTTTTTTGCAGAAAAATAACGTAATAGAACATTGTTATTCTACAAAGCTCAATTTCTTTTAATTTTTTCACTGGGTATGCTGTCTTTTATTTCGAAATTATTTTGAAATTTACAGTGGCGTGGCAGGCCAATTTTTCTTCAAGTTTATTATCACCATATTCCTATTTCCTTATCTATGACCTGCAGATGGAGATTTTCAAAACTATTCAAGGAAAAAAAGGGGTGGGTGGAGGTAAAGTGTTGATTATAAGCCAAGTTTCTTAAAATCAGTGTTTAAGTTTCACCTCTATAACTGATATATAAGATGATTGGTAATTTGAATGAAAGAGTAAAATCCCCTCTATACTAAGGAAGGTAGTAATAATGATCTTGGATGCTTTACCCATTTTAACTTTTAATAACTACTGTCTGGTTCTTTTGCAGGCAACAACATCACTGGAGCCAACACTGTTGTACATGGACATGTTGGACCCCTGTGGGTTCCTTTCCCTGTCGATCAGCCTGATGCATGTCAAGATCAGGGTATTGCATGCCCTATGACTGCCCTATGACTGCTGGGAAAACATACACATTCAAAACTGTCCTTCCCATCAAGAGTTTTTACCCTAATGTAAGTTCCCCCCATTTAACAATTCTTTTTGCTACGGTAACAACCAATCAAATTGCTGGCCTGATTGAATGGCTGTCTCACTTCACAATCTCAAGAAACAAGTCAAATTGACACATTTTTCAGGTGCAAATTCCCCACCTCTTCTGGTCAACCGTTCAATTCCCCACCAGTGGAAAGGGATTCGTTATAAATTCCCCTTCACAGCACAATTCACTCAGTAAAAAGCCAGATACCATAATGAGCATCTTTAACAGCAAGACATCCATATTAACCAGGCATCTGTAAAGCATGATCAAATTGCATTTCTAAATGATAAATACTGTAGGATATAAATTTTTGTACTTTTTTCCTTTCAGGTCCAGGTTATTGTGAAATGGGAAATGTATGACCAGGATAACAAAATGATCTATTGCTGGGAGGTCGCCACTCAAATTGTTAGTGGTTAAGTTCTTCCCCAAATAGTATAAATCTTTTGTGAAAACACTTACATTTAAAGGAAATGTGCACGATTTTTTGGGTTTGTAGAAAATAATAATTTAATTAGGAACGAAAAACATTTGATGTTGACTTTGCTTCACAAAAAAAGGGACTTGTCATTTAGTTAATAAATTTATTTGGACTTGTTTGCTTGTTTTGTGTTACTTTAACATATAGTTGCATCTTCCTCGTGAACTATCATGCACCCACCTTACAGCAATTATGACATAGAATTCACTGAGTATCAGAGCTTGAAAAAAATTGAATTCAAGCTTGCTGTTCAAACAGGCAGCTCACAAAATTTACTTGCCTGAGGCAAATCTTAGTTTACCTTTTTTTATTTAGTTGGAAGAAATCTTGTCTGGGTCCTTGACCATTGGACATGTAAGGATGAAAAGTTACCTGCCCAGCAGGAAAATCTACTTGTCCCAGACAAATGAACAGAACGGAATTTTTTCGAGCCCTGGGTATGATGATTTCACTAAGACTTTGGAGCTGTATGGGGATAATAACAACGTGTTTGACCCACTAAAATATATTGCTATGCACACACGGGTGTGCATCGCAATATATTCATTGCATCATTTCAGTGCCACTCTGCCTTGATCATCATGTGGGACGGAGGGACAGGAGCTGGTGTGACGGCAGTTTCACATAATGCACATGTCCAATGACCTAGAAAATAAGCAGGGACATGTTAAATGACAAGAAGTATCGGGAAACATTCAGTGCACACTCACACATGTATTCCCTTGCAAGGGTCAGTATCAACCTCTTCCTGCCCCTCTCCTACCCCTCTCCTGTTCCTGCCCCTCCCTTGCTCCAGGGCATGAGAGGAAGAGAGACCCTGGGAATGAGGTTGGGGTCAATACCAGGAAGTAAAAATTTCCCACCAACTCGTGATGCTTTCTGAAGGCCAAGATTCTAGCAACAGAATTAAATACAACTGTTTTGTGGTCTTCTAGGCCCAGAATTAGATGACACCATTAGGAAATGTTAAGGTAAAGTCTTGATTCAAGCACACCTGTACTGGCCTATCATGCTGTGCTTATCTCTGGTTTCAGTAATATGAAGTGACTTGAAGTGTTTCTGCCCCCCTCCCTGCCTCCTCCCTCCCCCCTTCTCCCTCCATGGATAGGATATGCTGGTTTAAGGGACCAGCAAGCATAGATTTACCAAAACCCAGCACTGGAGAGTATTATCCCTACCCTCCCTACCCCTTTCTCCCATTTTACGCCTGACTTTGCAGTACTGTGAGAGTGGAAATGGGGGTTTAAAGTGAATCTATAGGAGAATCATTGCAGATGTCATTGTTTACATTTTCCTCATTAACATACGACTGCACAGAGAGGGCAACACGCCAGAAACGAATTTACTACAAACATTGAAAGAGCTTGTGAACATATGTAAATCGCACTGAGCTTTTTGGCTCTTTGGTTGTAATATTCAAGGAGAAATTGGCTTTCAAATTTCTAGGTGGCAAAAGCACTAATGAGCTCATACATTCTTTGTAAAATCTCAAACTCCTTGGGAAAGTTAATCGTGCTATGCCCGTTTAATATTCAGAACTTGTACTGAGGCAAATATTGTAAACAAAATTCTCCTATAGGTTGTCATCAATGAACAGTTTACCTTCAGGCGGTTTTTGCATGGGTGGCTTTAGACAGTACATGTGGTATCCTCTATCACAGCCATCACAAAAAAGTAACTGATCCTACAACACAAGAAACTGTCACAATCAGAGGATCACTTCTCAGAGTGGTTTTACCTTAAATTGGTTAGTATCAAATCAAGGCAAACCACAAGTGTTTGGAAAATAGCCCAGTTTTACAAGCTATGTACAGAATTTGGTAGCACTTTCGTTCTCACTTTCCCAATAGGCAAGGGATCAGGCAAGTGTCTGCCAACTAAACCATCAAAAGAGCACACTAGGATTTGCCCAGGGCAAGCACAATTTGAGAGCAACTTGTCCCAAGGGTAAGCTGGAATTCACATATTTTTTGAGCCCTGCATCATGGTAATTATTTTCAAGCAAAAATTCAAATGCACATTAGGAAGTCTCACATCATTATCTGAAGTTCCACAAAGGGTGCAAGATTTGCATTCAATGCACTGCCATTTGTATTTCTTGACACTTTCTGTCAACTTGCCAGTAAACTGAAGACAGGAGGGATGCCCTAAATAAAACATATAACAAAAACATTAGTCCAGAAAAACCAATCCAATTGTCACCCAAATCATACAAATCAATGTGTACCTGATCTACCACAATCTGCACATGATAATAGTTCTTCTGGATATCCCGTCGACTTATTCTCGTACACGTCGCCCAGACAAAAATCACAGTAGTTGTTTGGAGATGTGCCACTCCCTGGCACTTTCTTGGGACGCCCAGGACCTCTCTGCTGTGGAGGTGAAGCAGGAACCTTTGGAGACTCTGGACGGACAGTGGGTGCTGGAGTGGATGGGTGAGATATCACTGGCTCCTCGTGGTGCATCGTCGCACCTGTCTCCTGCTCATGATTGTAATGTGTATAATGGTACTTTAGTCCTGGGCCATTCTTGTAGCGCCTCCCACAAACTAACAGAATATTACAAAATATCAAAAAGAACAACACAATGCTTTGTCTGTCAACACCACTTTGTCCTATCTTCCAAGGATCAAAGTCTGCTAGGTGACCTACGTAAAAAGAGATATAGTAAATTCTGCTTCCACTCAAAAGATAACTGAAATGACTGATTAATAACAAGGAAAAAAAATTACCAAGTAGTAATTTTGGGAAATAATATTTTTCAGGCAGAAATCTATAAAATAACCAAAATAATTAATAATAATAACTAGAGATATTTATTGAGGGAGCCAACACCATGAATAGTGGTTCAAGTATGCTATATTGTACTATACACTGTACACTACAATGAAATAAGCCTATACTGAAATCATGATATTAAAATACATCACAATAAAAATTACATAAAGGAAGTCCAAAGGTTACAAAAAAAAGATAAAATGGAATAAAATAAAGTAAAAACAATATTATACCTCTTAAAATACTTCATAATTACATTTCCATAATGCAGCTCTTAAAACTAACGTAAGAAATGTCCTTAATAATTGTCTAGTAGATAGTTCCAGTTGGTTAAAACATGAGTAATAACACAGTGTTGGCACCAATATATAACAATAATTTGACTTACTCTCGCATGCGTAAGGTTTTTTCCGCTCCTCAGGATCCATCCTAGCTAACTCTTCCTTGGTGATGTTTCGCACATGCAGAAGGCCAGGGATCGGGGGCATTGTCTTCTACAAGTAACAAAACGTGTGAGACACTAATATATCACTAATAATCTTAAGCTTTTTAAAATAAACAGTAGCCATATTAAAACATGACATTTTGGTGATGGCATGTCATCATAATGAATTGCAAATAATTATAAGTTTGGCAACATTATATGGAGACTGTTGAATGTTATATATGTTTTGTTTTCCATGCATCATTTTATTCTAAAATTAATGTAGTTTCACACTTTCACTTCTATATATAACATTACCAATCTTATAATAATTTGCATTTGATAATCGTGACATGTTGTTTGAGAAACATCATGTTTTAATAACTCTACCGTTCATGTTAAAATGATTAACAAAATCTTCCGTTATCGGAAATCTTAAGCTTGACATGACCAAAAATAGTATTACATGATTATCAACCCCACTGTACATGTAAATGCTTTGAACTGAAGGGTATCAGTAAGTGTGATCCACTTGAGAATACTTGTAGTTCAGTCCAAAAACAACTGTTATTGGTGACTGATGTTTTGACAACCTGAGCAAATGGCATCTAAGTGAAATGGTCCAGACTCCCTTTCAGTTTGGTGAAACATTTTAGTAACTAACAAAGTGTTCTTTTCAGACATTCCCAGACTTCCTCCCTGACTATCACAATAAAGCAAACAACAACACAGTCAGCTGGTTTTCATGCGGGTCTTCTATCCTGGTCGAATTGGAATTTGGACATGTTGGTTGCTGTGGAGGGAGGAAAACCAGAGAACCCAGAGAAAAACCCTCGGAGCAAGGCCAGAACCACAACAAACTCAACCCACATATGGCACCGGGCTGAAATTGAACCCGGGCCACATTGGTAGGAGGCGAGCGCCCTCACCACTGTACCATCCCTGTTCCCCAAGCATAAAAGAGATGGACTCCTATTGTATCTACATACAAGACAAATTACCCTATTGTATTAAACATGTTTCTCTTACATGATGGACTTGAGGCTCAGGAAATACACTAGCAGGTTGTTGAATCTTCTTGCGAGGTCGTCCTTTGCTAATAGGTTTCTTCTTACCAACATAGAAGTCTTCATCACCGGAGGATAAAGCACCAATGTCTTCCAGCACATCTTCGTCTCCATCACTATCTTCCAGTCTCATTATTTCATCTTCCTTTGTCACAGAAACATCTCTGGCAATCTCTGATTCAGATTGCTCTGGTGGAACTCCTTCAGACTCCATGGTATCCATGCTTTCACTGTTTTGTTCTATTTAAAAGGGATGATTTAGACAATCAATTGCGTTTTGTCAGAACTCGTCCCCCGTCCCTATGGAAATCAAAGGTTTTGGTTCATGGACCACTCGATCCAGAGACGAGTGCACTAACCATGAGGCCACCGTGCCTCCCAACATCCTAAAAGTGGGTATGAATAGTTTCTGGAGCCATAAATTACAACAAAGACAGTCTTATGAAGACATGATTGACATCACAGTTATATTCACAACTTAAGCAGCTGTGAAATTAAAGCCTGAAAAAAAAGTGTTATCAATGTAATAAGCCAATAAGATCAGTTCCATACCTCAAACCCTAACATAACCATACCACATATTTTAGTAACTACGGTGGCCAAATTGACAGAAATATCTAAAGAAACTACTGAGAAATCTTTTTAATCATGCCTTATGACAAAAGTGGTGGGAGTCATGTCATGTGTTGGATTTACGCATTCATGTCATGTGTTGCATTACGATGCTTTGCTTTGATGACCTATTCAAAGTGTGTGATTGCCTTTCAAAACCACTTTTAAATGGGGAAGCAAGCTTAACAAGAAATTCACACGTGCAAAAGAGTGAGATAAAAGTATTTGATTTCTCAGATGGATGAGGAACATAATGGTGATGATTCTGTATTTTTTTTTT